CATCCATGAGCTTAGAGTGTGGGATTACAGGCATGTGCACCATGCCCACCACATCATCCATGCTTTTATAGGAGCAAAGATCATCGCATCATTCAGAGGACAGTTAGTAATCAGGAAATGTGCCCCAAAGGAAGTCAGCCTTGAGATTTAAAGAAAAACTAGAAGTGGAACAGAAGGCCCACTTAGGAATGTTCTAGGCAGAGATTATACTATTAGCCAAAGCTTGAAAGAAATGAACAGCACAGGGTCAAGTACAACATTTTTGAAGAGCTAAAAATTATGAAGTGGGGATAGAGAGGAGAGAAAGGTAGAGGGGATTAGATACCTCCTTCCTCTCCCCCCAAAATCGTACCACATTAAAGAGCTTACATTTCATCCCTTAGGAAGTGGGGAGCTTTGACCCAGCCTTTAGTAGGAAACAGATAGGATCAAGTGCTTGTTTTACGTGGGTTAGCCTCATAGCTCTCTATAAAGCAGTTGTTATGTATAGATTCATACACAGATCCCACAGACACCTAGTAGCTAGTATAGTTTATTATCATACCGTCTCTGTCTCTCAGGAGGCTGTGGGCATGGCTGACTGAGACGTCTCACAAGGCACCAATCAAGTTGTCAGTCCCGGCTGCAGTCACTGCAGGGTCAAGCTGAGGAAGAAGCCACTTGTAGACTCCCTCGAGCAGTGGCTGACATATCTGTTCATTGGGTCTGGTGGGCTGGATTCTAGTTTCTCTACAGGTGTCCCTTCTCTTGCCCCATGAGCCTCTTGTACAGGAGCTCACAGTATGGCAGCTGTGAGGGAACAAGAGAGCATGAGGGTGAAAGGCAGGTCAGAGGCCAGAGTATGGAAGCTGACCAGGAGGCAAAACACTTCACCACTTTTCCTACACAGTGTGTGCCTGCTAGTACTAAGTTGTTAGTCTCCGTCTAACCTAAACAGTTTAGAGTGAAGACCACATGGGAACATGCATCCTAAGGGTCTTGAGAGCCATCGTTGAAGCTGCCTACCAGGTGGACTTCAAGGCTGTGAGATTAGATACCAAGGAGCACTTAGGAGGCTAGTGTAATCCAGGTGAAAGATCTGGAAATCACTGTGACTGTGGTGTAGGAATAACTAGTTAACCACTCAGTGTCGGGAGAGTGTTTTAATTCATAAAGCACAAAAGCTGTGCAGAGAAGTAGGAGTCACCAGTGATGTTCAATTCTTGGTTCTTATTGCTATCTTACTAAACAAATGTTTTTGACTCCTGTCCATGTTGAAATTGTCATCCTTGCTACCTGCCTCCATCCTTTAGTAATCTACCCTGTTCTCGACCTGGCTGTCTTTGTGTGTCTCTCTCTCTATTGTAAGATACCAGTTACAACTCTCCTGTCTTTGTTCCCATTGCTAATCTTCTTTAGTCAAGAACCAGTCTATGCTTAAAAGTTGGAAATAGACTTCTAATTCTTTTTCTGTGTCCTTTTCTCTAATCTAGATTCTAAAATGCCTGGTATCTGTATCTTTCAGTCATTCAACCAACATTTATCACGGGCACCCTGGGTGAGCAGCACTATACTAGGCCTCCTTGGGAATATGATGGTGAGCAAGACCATGCCCCTGTCCTTCTGGTCCGCGTTAGTCCGCATTAGTAGTTCCTCTTCCTTCTTACCTAGCAAAGAGATCACAAATCCTTTAGGCACACTTGTGAACGTGTTGGTGAGCTCCTGATCCTTTCAGTCTGCATTAATGTTTCTTTTTCTCATCTCTCAGAGATAGCATGAATCCTTAAGGCACAGTTCCACTTTGACTCTTGTGTGAGGTGCTGAGGGATCCCAGGCACAAATTCCCAAAGTCCCCTCCTGTAGCTGTTCCCAAGAGAATTCTATACTTGACATTTAGAGATTGCATAAGGTTAAAAGTGAGCAGTGGCTTCAGTTGTTAAAGGCAGTGAAGCTGTTTCTGACCTCTCCCCTCGGTCTAGAGCCAACAGTTGAGCAGAGTGTCACCCTCTGGCTTACTGGAATCACCTGGCGAGCTTTGCAGACCTGTAGACATCTGGACCTTCCTTAGGTATTCTGATGTCAGTCTGTTGAAGTTGAAAGCAAACTAGCTTCAAGGTGAATCTCGGATCTAGCGGGATTCCAGGGTCACTGCACTAGCACCACCCTTACCACTGTGCTGTTAACAGCTTGTGTCAGAGTCATCCAAATAGCCTAAAGCAGTAATTCTAGCATTAGGTGGTGAGCTGCTGTGCCAGACTTTGCACTCCAATCCTAGAGGTGCCCTCACTCATCTCTGGGAGTAAATGGCCTATTCTAAATTTTAAATAATGAAACTGTGACTTACAGGGCTGGGGGGGCTGGGCTCAGTGGTTATGAGCACTTGCTGCTCTTGTAGAGGACCAGGATTTAGTGCCCAGCTCCTACACTGGATGACTCAAAACTGACAGCCTAGAGGATCTGAAGCCCTCGTCATACTTCCTAAGTACCCAGAGGCACAGGTGTATGAATACACACACACACACACACATTTTAGAACTGTGACTGGTAAATATCCAGATTAAAAAACAGTGGATAGTCAACGGCTGCATTAGTGGGCATAGTCTCTCCAGTTCCTTTCCTCTAATGGATTACTGATTTATGAGAAATGTAGACCAAAGACCAGGAGATTATTGTTTCCTGAAATTCTAAATAATTGTATTCTGTTCTTTAAAGAAGCATATTATTAACATCTTGCAAACAGAGATTGTTAAAGTATGGCTTAATAAAGTTGTTTTTCCCCCTTAGTGTTATTCCACTTTTAAGAGAGTCTATTGGAATATTAATGCAAAGAACTCCTCCCTCGTTGGAAAATACACTTCCCCAGTGCTATCAGAGGGTAAGTTTTGCAAAGCATTTGATCGTATCTTGTTTCTGAACTGTTAGGGTTTCATCTTTCATAAATATGGGTAGCGTGTGAATATAATATAATTTAAACTTTCTTTCGAGATTGCATGGTAACCATGAATTTCATTTGTATAAGCCCAAGTGAATTCATTAGAAAAATTGAACTTTACTAAAGAAAATGTATACACTTGTCTTCATCTAGAAATTGAGCTATTACAATAGGAGTACGGTGGCTTGCAGGCGGGCATGGCACTGGAACAGTAGTTGAGATCTACATCCTGACCAGACAGACAGACAGAAACACACACACACACACACACACACACACACACACACGGAGAGGGAGAGGGAGCTTAATGTGGTCTTTTGAAACCTCAAAGCCAACTCCCAGTGACATCTTTCCTCCACCAATGCCATACCTCCTTCAACAAGGCCACACTTCCTAATTGTTCACATACCCTGGTGACTAAGCATTCACCTATGTGGGCCTATATTCACCTATATATGAGCCTATGGGGGACCATTCTCATTCAAACCGCCACATCAATGTAATAAAAATATGTATTTTTTTATGTGTATGTGTGTTTCCTTGTATGTATGCCACATGTGAGGGGGGTACTGCTGAGGACAGAAGGGGATCAGAGCCCCTAGAGCTAGAGTTACAGGAAGTTGTGAGCTGCTGATGTGGGTGCTGGGAACCGAGCTCCAGTTCTCTGAAGAGGGACAACTGTTGTTAACTGGGAATCATCTTTCCAGCCTTATGGATGTTTTTGTTTGTTATGTTGTATTTGCTTTGTCTTCATGGCATGCACTGTGTATCAGACTCTCTTCTACAGAACTGGAGACAGAGGGTGAGCAAAGACAGACCCTGTGCTCTCATGGAGCTCTCAGCCTGGCTGGGGCAGAGGAAAGATTAGGTGCTGTTGATGGTGAACAAATGTCAGTGAGGCCGTAAGAGAGGAATGAGAGTGAGGTAAATATGGACGGCTGTAGGGCTCAGCAAGGAGGCCGTAGCCACGGAAACCAAAACCCCGATGACCAGAAGTGTCCAGCCATGTACAGATCCTCAAGTCCTCGAGAAGAATGTTCCAGGCAAAAAGAAAACCGCTAATGCGAGGCAGCTATGGCTGGAACTAATTTAGTGTATCTGGAGAACACCAAAACAGGTTTTGTGGCTGCAGCATGATAAATAAAGGGAAAGTGATTGAAAGGTTGGAAAACAGGCAAGGGCCAGATGTTAGGAGGGCTTGGTCATCCGAAGAGGCTCAGACTCCGTCACTGTCACACAGTGGGAAGCATTGGAGTGCCATGAATCGACTGTCATTGGCAGCAAGATGGAGGCAAATCGACATTTGGGGTTGTAGTTTTGGGGGTGGGTTGCTTTAGTGAAGGGTGTTGTCTCATAGGTTGGTGTATGGGAATGCTATTGAGGTATGCTCAGCTGTTGAGGCTGAGGCTAGGGTGGGAAGTGTTTGAGAGTAGGAAGTTATTCCAAAGTAAGATTCATTATAATGTATTTAAACTGAAATACCAAGTAGGCATTTAGGGAAAATGGTTTTGTTCTCTCAGCTCTGTGTTCACCTCCAGATCCAGAGCACAGGGGAAGAGCCAGAGTTTTCGGAGCTAAAAAATAACTTTCTCCATTTATAAAAATATGTCTGTTTTGTGTCTGTATTCAAAATTGTGTCTCTATGATAGATAGATAGATAGATAGATAGATAGATAGATAGATAGATAGATAGATAGATGGATGGATGGTAGACAGATCGATCAAATGTCCCTCTAGCCTCTTAATCTTTTCTCCAGAACCTTTTTCTGTGTAATGAATTCTCTCATTTCTAAGCATGTGTTGATTCCTGTCCTTTTCCCTCCCCTCATTTCTGTGGTCTACTTTATCATTCTTTTTCTAGCTCCATAGCTTGCCTGTACTTCTCTGATGGATATGTTGAAATTAGAACTTCTGATAAGTGTTCGTTCATTCTCTGAGGCTCACCTGGAACATACTGAGTACTCCCTAGGCATTTGTCCAAACTTGTCTTTCTAAGTAGGGGGTTGAGTCCAACTTTCTGACTCCCTTCACAATTGTATTTGGGTGGCGGGGGGCAGCTTGTTCTCTATGCTGACATCTGCCTGGTGTTTCAGGTGCAACAGTTACAAGGAGTTTACAACTTGCAAGAACAGCACTTTTGGACACTCTGTTCTGACGTTTACGTTGGAACCTTGAAGCTCGTAGTAGCCCCTGATGCTGATGCCAGGTGGATCTTAAGCCAAACACATAATATTTTTACTCAGGTATGACTTGTTACAAATCTCTTTTAAGAAATTTATATTTCTCTGTATCTTGCTAGCTTTAAAAATCCTGTATTTAACATATCAAATATAGAAACTACTAAAGTAAAAGAGGAGGAAATGTTCTCAATCAGAGTCAAACATGGAAAGACTATTTTCCTCAACAATCCCCCCCCCTTTCTCTTTCTCTTTTATTTTTTTTCTTTCATTATTGGGTATTGATCCAGGGCCTTCTATTTTAATTAGTATTGTTGGCTGGAGTCTAAACATTCCTCTAAGCAGAATTACTTTTCTATGAAATATGTCACTGCATACATATTTCTCTTTCTCTGCCTTCACATCTTCAGACATGAATATACTATGCAGTCTAGTTAAATTCAAGGCATTATATAAATTAGAGATTCTGCCTCCTGAAGAGAGACACACATGCTTAGGTTTCTTATGAATGAATTACTGGCACATATAATGTTAATTAGGATTTACATAATCCTAATCTTAGATGCAGTTAACACTCTGCTATACTGTGCGCTGGTTCTACGTGTTCAGAATTTTAACAGCTGTCTGAGAAGGCACAGTATGTTTATGTGACTCATCTATATAAATGTGTATCATCATGGCTTTCGTAATGAAGCCTTGAAGGCCCAGGCAGTGTGTCTGAATACTTCTCATCCTGACTCCGTGTTTCAGAGCAGAGGAGAACAATATGGCAGTAACCAGCAGTCTGCCCTCTTCAGACCACTGCCCTCTCTCATCCTGTGACTTTTCCTAGTGCTGCTGTTGCCCTCACAGTGGGCCTCCTGTGGGTCTCCTGTGAGCCTCCTGGGCACCCTGATGCTCATGGCTTTGCCACTCATTCAGTTTTCCCAGTGAAAAGGAATGTGCTTCCTACTCTGAGACCTGAACTAGCAGCCGCTGTGTGTTGCAGCTGCTGAGACTCTAATCTCAGAGCAAAGGGAGGCCTCCGAAGACACGAACCTGAATTTTGGAAACAGAAAATATGAATGTTCCTTCAGCTGCTTCTTCTGTATCAGAAACTACATTTGGGCTTTCCTTCAACCTTTTTTATCCACTGACAAGCTGATTTCCTTCCTTGTAGCTACCAGAGATTCCCTTTGAGGCTAGCTGTGAGGATATTCAAACCCATTCCCTACAACACCCAGGAGAGCAAGGGGGTGTGGTCACACCTCTAAAATAACTTTTATTCCTACACTTAATGATTTTAATCTATTTTAGTTCTCACATGCCAGAATAGGATATTTAAATAATTTATTTCTTTTTCTGCAGTGTCCTTGTAGCATGAGTAAATATCAGGGCTTTCATGAAATGAAAATTGTTAAATTACTTTATATTTTAAGTTACATCTTACTCATAACTCTTGATTTATCGAATTTAAACCCCCTACTTGTTCTTTTTTGGGAGAAAAAAAAATCATGACCCTCAGGTGAGTGAACTGTCTCAGCAGGTAAAAGACCTGGCTGCCAAGCCTGGTGAGCTGACCTCAGGATAGAAAGAGATTTAACTCCTGATCTCCCCGAGCACCCACACACAATAAACAGACAAGGACCTAGATCGGATTTTAAACACATTGATGCTTTCTCTTACAGAAAGTTTTTGGTCTTGGTTCTATAGAAGGAGAATTTCCTGCTGAGTCTCCCCTGTGTTTGTTCAGCTTTGCTTGTCTTCCTTACAGCTAACCCTAAGAATGGAAGAAATGGGCTTTGGTTAGAGAAATTGTTTGTGTATTAAGGTAACTTTAAGTTGAAAGAAACAGAAATCATAGAATCATAATGTTCTATTATTTAGTTATTCAATGCTAATTCTGAGTGATTTTAGAATACCCTGGTATTATCCTATTTAATACCATTTTCCAGGGTCACTGATTTCTCTTAAGGTGCTAAAGAAATGGGGTTATGTATAGGCGTGTGGTGTAGGGAAGGGAGCTGCTGCAAGCCATGTCGCTGCTCAGATCCTTTGGGAACACCAGTTAGATGTAGTCCAGTGCTTAAGCCTTAGGTTTTCTTGTATGTCAAAGTCTTCCTCATCTAAACTAGTTTTCGAAGTTATGAGTTGATACCTGGAGGGATGGAAAGTTTATTTTTTGTGTTTACATAGAAGCAGAACAGAAAGTGAGGCTCTGGATCAGAAAGCAATTCAGTGGTCTAAGGTTTTTGTTTTAAACTGGCCATGATCACTTGTTAATCTTTTCATGGTATATTTTACAATTAAAATTACAACCTTGAATTTTTAAATATGCTCTGTTTCGTTAGAAATGATGTTTGAAGAAAAAAGTCTTAAATATATTCAAAGATCTAGAAAATGCCTGGGGTTCATTATGACCCTTGGTTCCTCAGAGCACAAAAGACAGCCAAACCTCCTCCACATTCTCTCCTGGCAGAGCCTCTACTTCATATCCCAGCTCTCTCTCCCCACGGTGCCTGCTAAGTCCTAAGCCCCAGCATCCTGAGCCCCCAGCTTCCTGCTTCTGCCTTTTATGCTTTGTTCTCTGACCTCAAAATAGAAGTGAACAGTTATATCCAGGAAGGAATTAAAAAGCCTCCTTTCAAACACAAGTCAGAGTCCCTAAATTACAGAAGCCTCTGCCTCCTCCAGCCTCCTGTGTTCATAAGCCCTCCCTTTCACTGACCAGTAGCTCATTCAGGCTTGTGCTGTCTGCTTGAGGGACACACACAGAAGAAAGGGTTGTCTCCCCTTCTCTAGCTTGGTTTCTGGTTCTCTACCCTTTCCAATTTTTTCTTTTTTAATCTTTTTGTAATGGGCTTTAGTGTTTAATGAGTATTGATTGTGCTTGCCTGCTCTGCAAACTTTTTCTTAGTCATATTTCTCTTATCTTTCTTCATCATATGTATCTTCATAAAATTCAGGAGGCTGAGTAGACAGCCATGGGCCTTCTGTACCCCTAGGTTTGTGTTGTACATTAAACCATATAGCGTAAGTGCTCATTGACTGCTTGGTGGTAGTCAACACAGTGCTTTGCCTCCCAACAAACAGGTACTGTGACAGGAATTAATCGATCAGTTACCACAGGGTGGGCTACAGAAAAGAAAACAGATCTATTTTTTTTCCTTTTATTATTATTATTATTTGTTGGTGGTGGTGGTTTGGGGATGCTAAGTAAACTGTGTCTTCAGTTCTTGGTTTTTCCTCCTGTCTCACTAAGTAGCCCAGGCTGGCCTTGAAGTTTCTCTGTAGCTAGGACAGCCTCAAAGTTGTAATCCTCCTGCCCCTGCTTCTGCTTCTGGAGTACTGGGGTCACAGGTGTGTCATGATAACCTGTTATATTGTTATTCTTGACTTATAATTTAGTTGTATTTAATTACATTTCATTAATTCTGTACTATCTTTCATGGAAAAGTGAGATAGTGTTATATGACTTCATTTTTCACTTTTTTAAAAAAAAATTGTGAAGGGAGAGCATTTTGCCTGCATATGTGTCTATATATCATGTGTGTGCCTGGTGTCAGCAGAGGCCACACGAAGACCTCTAGAACTGGAGTTCCAGATAGCTGTCAGCTGCCATGTGGATGCTGATTGAACATGGACCTCTTAATCTCTGGGCTGTTTCTGTAGCCCCTTCTTTGCATTTTAAAGTGATAAAGGTTAACATGTTCAGTCAAAAAGTGAAACGAAAGCAGGTCTCTGGCTTTGGCCCATAGAGAATACAAGTAAAACAACAATTTCTATAGTCGTATTCCTGACTGGTTTTGGTTTTTTCGAGACAGGGTTTCTCTGTGTAGCCCTGGCTGTCCTGGAACTCACTCTGTAGACCAGGCTAGCCTTGAACTCTCGAGGTCAGAGATCCACCTGCCTCTGCCTCCCAAGTGCTGGGATGAAAGGCGTGCGCCACCACCGCCCGGCTCTGACTGTTTTTTCTAACTGTAACTTCTTTACACAACATAGATATTGCTTGGTGATAGCCCAAGCCTGCATTACAAGGCTAGCTTTTGGGGTGGAGGCAGGGGCAGTGAACTCAGAGGGTTAAAATAACTAATTACCTTTCCCAACAAGAAGCTGTGGACTACCGATGCTCTGGACCACTGGGATAGATGTCATGCTTTCCTGTGATTAAACTCTAGAGTCTTTGTATCGGGAGTAGGTCACTTGCCAGAATATTTCTTGGAAATTTGGCTTTCTCTTTACTTTAAAGGAAATTGAAATGAACACTAGGACCGGGAGAACCAAACTGCCCATCTCTACTGGGACAGGTGGATACTGCAAATGACTTCTCAAATGGCTTCTTTATCTTTGCTGTTGGATGGAGCTTTAGTGGAAATCTGTTATCCCCTGGAGGGATTGATACCAGTTTGAGTAATTAACTCATGATTATGCAAAGATAATTTATCTAGCCCCTTTGTTTCTCTCTTTCCTTTTCATTGCCTTGGGCTACCCATTCCTTATTACTGTCTTCCCCACGTTAGGACTGGGATAATGAAAATGGCAGGGAATAAAAGGAGCCCAACTGTTTGTTTGCCCGTTTAACTTGCATTAGCAATGTTGTTTAAAAAGAAAAGATATTATACAATATGTTTGTGTAATATTTCTATTTTCTGTTAAGATTACACATATAAGAATTTTTCAGAATAGTTAATTCCTCGGTCATTTCAGGGCCATCTGGACTGAGTTAATCAAATCATATACTTGTAGTAAATCAGAATAATTTATAGTAACAGCCTTTGTAGCGTGTGAATTTTTTTCTCATACATTCACACAGGATCTTGACAACAGTGCCTACTCTACAGTAGTGGATTTATTAACTGCTTGTTAAGTATTAGATAATACATATAAAACTCCTGCAAATTGGTAGTGCTGATTTAACCAACACTGTTTCATAGTGAGGAAAACTGAGCTTTGTATTTAATGTATAGGTAAAGGTCATACAAATGCTACATTCTTCTCCACGAGTCTGTTAGCCAAAATAGGAACCAGTTCATTTTTCTGTAAGTTAAGTAACAAGAGTTGTAGCTTGCTGTGGGAAGGCTTTTGGGGGGGACACAGAGGGTATTTTTTGCCCTGACAACCTAGGTTCTGTCTAGTTTTTTTATTCTACTAGAATATCCTAGTAGAGTATCCTAAAGCTAGCTAAATCATAAATCCTAAAGCTATTTCATGGATCCATCAGTAATGCACAAACCCTCCTCCCTGAGTTCTAGAAAAAACAATCCATAATAGAAATGGGTATGTGAAGCCCAACAGCCGCTGTCACACGGAAACCTCTCTGTCTGCCACTGAGAGCGAGCTTCTCCCTGTAAAGTATTGGCAAGAGCACTCTTGTTTCTTTTCTCTCTCTTCTCCCACTTCTAGTTAAAAGTAGTTTTTGATTGAAAGAAAGAAACTAATAGGATTTTAGTTCATTCAGTAATATTTATTGACCACTTTCTGGAGTCAGATATTACTGAAGGTTCTGGGCATCTGGAATAAAAGAGGACAAATATGTTTCCCTTGGAGAGATTACATTATAGTAGGAGAACAGAAATAATAAACACACTGAATAAGTAATCTATGATTTTAAGGGACAATGTAGGTGCTTCCAGAGTGTAGTGCCCATGCGCTGACTTGACAAAGTGGCGGGTGTTTGGGTAAGAGTGACAGGGGAGACGGCTGGAGTGTCTGAAAAATCTGTCTCCTCTTACATAGTATGCCTGTTTCTTCTATGGTATTACCATCCAACAAGTGGTATTTTCTTCTCTTTTTCATTACCTCTTCCACTCCAGGCCCCTGATAGAATATGAACACTCTGTGAAGACAAGGCATTTCTCTAAAATGTCTTCTTCCCTGTCTTTTGTATTCTTAGGTGAGAGACTATTGCTTGGAAAACAACAAATGCAAAAATAAATATTGTTGGAATAAGACGTGAATGAATTGTATAATGACTGTCCTCAGCCCTCACTGATGTCTGGATAGGGTGTAACAGGAATGCCCCATGGCTGTCGTAAGGAGCATAGCTCACAGGAGGGCTGTATAGCTAAGGGAGTAAATAATGGGAGAAGGAGTGACACTGATCAAACTGGAGGGCAGGAGCAACATTCCATGGCGTCATGGTGCCATAGGAAGGATAAAGAAGATGAACTGGTGGACAGTGAAGAGCATACAAGGATGCTTGCCCTTCTAGTTATACTGAGGGTAACCGGAGCTGGGAAAGGCAGGCAGGGGCATTGACAGAGTCTAGACAGGAGCTGACTGTGGCCAGGGCAGGTTCAGAATGGTGGAGCTGACCTAAAGTGCTCAGGTTTTGGGCTTGGATAATTATTTCGGATGAAAAGGCACCAAGTTTTGTAAGTTAGTTGGGTCCTGGATGTGATAAACAGAAATGTCTTTAGAAAGATCAGTACTGACAGTAGATCAGCAGGTTTGATGTCCTGTGCTGCTTCTTAGATACCCCCAGTAGAACTGCCACGTAGATGCAAGTTCCTGTCTGGACATGCAAACATGGAGGTGTGAATACATGCAAAAGTTGACTTACAATCTGGCTGCAGAGATCAGTAGAGAACTAGTGTAGACTGTGAAGACTAAACCTTTGCTATGCCAGTGTTTGTTACTTAATGATGGAAGAAACCAGGAAGGAGACTGACAGTTTGACACATGACTGACCAGTGAGCATTCTCTGGAAGCATCACAGGGAAGTGTTTGGCACTGCGAGTCTGGTACTGTGTATCATTGCTGATAACCAAGGCTGAGAGCTGGCCTTGGAACTGTAGGAGCAAGTTGGAAGTTGCTTGGCAGGTAGTTGTAGAAGGTGGGGAGAGGTGTTGCGGATTGGCTGGCTGGCTGTACGACCAAAGGAGCTAGAGACAGTAAAGATGAGCGGGTTTGGGGAAGTTTGGCTGTCCACAAGAGAGGATTGAGACTACACCAGACAGGCGGGGATGGTGACTTAAAGTTGTCTTTTGTCTTTTTTTTTTGTTTTTTGTTTTTTTTTTTTACAGTAAAAGAAATTATAGTGTATTTAACACTAATAGAAATGACCCAGTTGAGAAAATAAAATTGATAATACAGAAGATAGAGGGTGCAATTTAGACAACAGAGTCCTTTTGTAGCTAGCTCATATCCCAGACTGAAGGATTCGGTGTGTAAAATAAGTAACCCGTTGTCAGTTGTGATTTTTAAGTAAATACATGTGTTGCCATGGGAAGATTTTGCCTGTGGTGAGCTGGTTTGAATGGGTGGCTGACTAATCCAGCACTGTCATGTCCTCTAACGGCGATGGCATATAGATAACCCCATCTACAGCACATAGGCAGGACATGTGGCTAATGACATGGATTCTTTTTCTTGTAGTGGTTTGACAACTTAAAATGAAAATGGATAGTTTCTTAGAAGCAGAAGACAAAAATAATTCCATTTTTAAAGACAAATGAAGTGTTGTTTGCTTTCCTACTGCTTTTCTAGGATATTCATCTCTTTCAGGTTTTCAGGTTTGATGTTCTAATTTTTCTTTTTAACTTTCCAGGCTGGAGTGAGACAGCTTTATGTACAGATTGACTTTGCAGCAATGTAGTCAAAGAAAGGAAACTGACTGAGGACCAAACTTTTCCAGTACTGTGCAATCCAAAGCATTGTACTACCCAGTGCTCTGAAACAGAGTTATGACCACTACAGCTCGGAAGCACCAAGTATGCAGGTAGAGTCAGCTGTGTGCTCGAGGATCACAGCCGAATCCTGCCCAGACTGTTGCCTGTGTGCTTTTCCCTTCAAGCCATTCTGACTGCTGAGGTTTCTGGGTTCATTTAGGGTACTGGGTTATCTTTTTTCCCCCTGGGGGTTCTTACTGATCACCTTCACCCCATCCTTATCATCCCACCCAGCCAGTGAGAAATTCAGACTGTAGGCCTTCAACCTTCTGAATGTCATCACTAAAGCTGCTGGAAACCACTGCTTTTATTCCCGTAAAACCAGTGTTGTTTTTACAAAAAGTCTGTTTTCTATGTAATGTCACAGTTGTTGACGTTCTTCAGTGTAATCATACATTTGTAAAAATTGTTTGTACCTTGCAAACTTACAAACCAAACCATATTGGGTTTTCAAAGTGCCTTTGTATCAGAAATATATATGCCAGCATAGAAATATACCATCAAAGGTCATATGTATGTTTTTTTAAAATGGATGTTCTGTAATTTGTACAAAATAAGACTTGCTAGTAACATACATAATTGTCTTTGTGTATTTCCAACATAGATTTAAATATATTAAATTTTTGGTCTTGTGAAAAATGATATTATTTTGCTTTATAAAAAATCCAGTTATCACATTAAGTTACTTTGTAGCCTATTTTCAAAAATGCAAATACATTAGAAAAACTTATTTAGACCTAGACCATCTGCTCCCTCACAGATTTCTATAAAAACCTTCACCCGTCTTTGGTCTATTTTCTAGTGTCTCTCCTTGCCATGTCTAGATTCTGTTCATGACAAGAAAAGCACCTCGGGGTGGCAGAAAGAGTGGTGCCAGCGCTGTCTTATGTCTTTGTATTCTCCAGGATCTAGGACAGTGCAGCTCTCTAGGTTTGTTTGCACAAATACAAATTACTTCCAGGAAATCTAGAACAGCATTCAATTGAGGATGAACTTTTATCACGACAGAGCAATTTGGTGGCAAAGAATTCTTTCTCATGTGGGTGTCTTACAATGGTTGATTTTCCAGGGTCCTGAGTATATGAGAAATATAATTGTGACAGGCATGGTGATCCACACTTTTAACTCCAGCACTCAGGAAGCAGAGTCAAGGGATATCTGAGTTCAAGGCCACCCTCATCTACATAGTGAGTTCCAGGACAGCCAGGGCTACACACAGACCCTGTAATAAGTTACAAATAAATTGCAGTTTGAGATGACAGGTGCTTAACACTCATATATTCTTGGTCTTTTCTGAGGATAAGCAATTTGAGTGGATATTTTCACATTGTAGTTCACATATCCCAGTAAATATTTACTATTGTTTAAGTAAATTGATATTGTTAGCAAAAATTTAAAAACCTTGCCCTGCAAAAATATAAAGAGTGTAGATCAGTGACAGGCACTTTACCACTAAGGTGGCAGAATTTACTGTTGATGTGTGTCTGAGTTTTCAAGTACCTTCCTCCTATTTCTCACCTACAGTTTATGCATTAGGAGAGCTGTACGGTGCACAGCAGCAGTAAAATGCCATACAATGTCTGTGGCACCTTTTTTGTAAATCATGTGGTAATTTCAAAGCCTATTTGCTTTCTGTCAGGCAGTTCTAAGGCTAAAATTCCCTGCAGTAGTTTGTGTTTGATTGAAACAAGTGCTGTAGTCTTTCAGGAAGGCAAGTGCAAATGGACACGTCTTGATGCTCTCCTCCTCCTTCGTTTCCGTTCTGATACACCCCAGGATAGTCTGTGGCTTGGGGCAGTCTGCTAAAAATGAAGGTCTAGATGAGGGCAGAGCCTCTGATGGGAATGAGTCCTTACAAGCCAAACCCAGCAACTGTTGACTCTGTGTGTGTGGAGTCAACTGTGCTGTCTCTGAAATTTACTAAACCTGCTTTCCACTGGGCCCTTAGTTCTAAGTGAAGTTTTTGTCAAAATGTGTCATTTTATTTAATGAGGCCCTCAGTACACAAATCCATGAATGTTGCTGGTTCCTTTGATGAGACATAGAATATGCTTGATGTGAAACTAATTTTGCACTTTGTTCCAAGAGCTTGCCATTTATCAGGTTGGCTTTGATATTTTTTGCTTAATTAAATGTTGGCATACCTGTGTGTATTTTTTTTAAAAAAAAATGTGAACAGAAACATTTTTCATAGAAAAAAAAAAGCTTGTCTTTTAGTATTCTCCATACAGATGTATTACTAGCAGGTGGTTTTACTAAGAAATACTGTCTGGTTATGGTAATAAAACAAATTTCATATACTCTTAACATTAGGCTAATATTACCAAAAAAAAAAGCCAATATGGGTGTACAGTTGTCAGTCTGTGAATAACCAAAGTTTTTTTTTTCCCCCTCTGAATAACAAACCTACATTGTTCAGGGAAAGTTTACCTTACCAGATAAACATCCCCAACTAGGTATATTTTGAAAACTCCATTGTAGTACTTGATGAAGAACTTGACCTAAGGCCAGCTTCCTCCTTTTGAAGCCTCCCTGTCTGTCTTTCTGAAGGACAGTATCTAGTATGTGTAGGCTAGTTTTCCCTCTCCGTCACCACCCTCTTCTGTAGTAGCAGCCTAAGAACATGGCCACAGATGTCATTTTGATTTCTCCTTATCTGGATACTTCAAAGCCTACACATATGTACCAGGAACCAAAATACTGTGACATCAGTGTGCCTCTGTAGAGCAGCCAAATCGCTAACCCACAATATAGCTGATCAGAACTCTCATGATTTTACAGATGGTAGCATGGGGACCAACCTGGGGTAGAATGTTGGGGTTTAAGAGTACCACATTGCTTAAGATGGAACTTCACACTTAAACAAAGACTGCTGGGAGCGCTCTGCTTCTACCTCTCAATCTCAGATGAGAGACCTGAAGTCCAGAGAAACTGTCATTTCCGTAAGATTACAGGGATCAGTGGTGGCAAAGCCAAGGCTCAAATGTGACCATTCAGTCGAGAGTTCTTTACACTGTACTGTGCTGCTCCCCTGTGTGACACTGCCATTCTGTAAATGTGACTAATGATGGCTTGTAAATAAAGAACTCTGACCTCTAGCTTTGATTCATTAAGGCACTTTATTATGCATTTTTGTCTCATGTCTTGTGTATAATTAAGTATAGATTATTTCCAAAGTATTTGTTGTGGAATTAGATTATAGTAATTAATTTTTATTGTAACAAAACCAGTTCTTGACTTGAAAAAAGAAAAAAAAATGTTCTCTAGATACGTTGAACTTGGGAGTAAATTTTTATTAACTGCCCACGCTCAGTCCATTTAATGCTGGCTGCCTTTCCTAATTTTGTTTAGATGCTGGAACCTGGTTCCTTTTGGATACCAGGCTGGTTCACAGGTCATGCCATTTCACATCCTTTTTCAGTCACTGGACAGTAGTTGTACTTTAAAATTTTTCAGAGCTGTGCAAAGTGAGGCAGTAAATGTATGGAACACGTCTTTTACGTCAGTCGGGTCAGTTTTTGAAATCATAATCAGAACTGCAAATGCTAGGCCACTGCTTTTGACTCTTTGTAAAGGCATTACCTTGGCCAAGTTAAGCTTTTTTTTTTTTTTCTACAAAATGTCACCATTGGTGAAACACATTATATTCCAATTCGTAAGAATCTTAGCGGGGGTACAGGGGGCAGTTCTTTTATTCTCTGAAGAACATTCATTTAAAGTTCCATGAAACATTCTCAAGATGTGATTTCCAGAGGCCACCTTAATGATTCAGATCTAACATAGAATCAAGACAAAGAGTGAAAGATTGTATATCACAGAGTGTTTGCAGAAATGTAACAGAGGTGTAGCAGCTCCATTGAAAGGTCAAGTAGGTGGGGCTTTATCGATGAGTTCATCGTTGGTTTATATTTAGCCATTTTCTAACTGCAGAAAACAAGGTAGGTCTGCGCTAAGTATTTATGTATCCGGGTACTTAGTGGCTTTGCCCACTTTCTCACTCACATTTTTATAATGAGAATTTTGGATGATTCTATGGTTGGCAGCATCTTAAAATCCAGTTTGTGATCCTCATAGCATGAGGAAGGAATTCTTCCTTATCTGGAGAAAATCTGTGGTACAGCAGCAGTTCTGTCTTTTCTGACAACTCTGTTTTTAAAAGCAACACTCTTAAGCTCCAAGAAGCTATAGCTGATCTGGGTAGACTCCTGGAAAATCAGCGGATGGTAGTGATGCCACTGCTATGCCGATATTTACAAACTGCCTCCAGCCTGTTTCTTCCTGTGCTCTAAGATGTTTGCTTGGTCACGGATCCAAACCCATGCTGGGGGAAATGGCACTAGAGCTCCTTACATCCCTCTAAAAGGCAATTAGAAGAAAATTTCAGTGGAAGTCATGGCGGAGCTGCTCACTGACTGACTTGAAAGACAGCATCCTCTGCGCCAGCATGAAGAGAGTGCCTGCCCTAAAGATCGTCGTTGGAGAATTGTCTGCCAAGAAGCACGTCGATGTTCAGGTTTAAGCAGTGTCTGATTTACAACACTGTGTTTTACTTAAAACCTTGTCAGTAGCAGAAATCTATTTCATAAGTAGAAGACTGTGCCTTCCCAAGCTTTGAACATGAATTTGTAATTCTGATGATATTGGAAAGCATGAAAAGCAAAAACAATGGTTACATGTACTTTTATACCCCAACTCACTGGGTCATGTTAACATGCTCATGAAATAGTTCCCAGGAACCCTAAGTAGAGTAGCAGACACAGACTGACGCTGGAACTCCCTCACTGCAGGAATCAGCTCAGCAGTTCTCGTTTTTCTATACAGAGTGGATTTCTGTTCACTCTGTCCTTTCTCCCCAGGTACTGAGTTACTTGATCTGTTTTCCTCTTTTCATGTGGTTGGGATTTGGCACAACCGAGCCTGTGTGCTGTGGCCTTCTGGACTGTAGCTAGCCATGCTGGGGATTGTTTTGGTGGAGAATTGCCATATTGCTTTTTCTTTAAAGACTATCTACTCTCCCTGAATATTTTGTCATCCAAAACTCTTTCAGAGGTATTCCTTGAAGGTGCTCCTAATGAAAACACCATGGGTATTATGTGATTTAAATGTCCCCCAAATACACTTACCTCTTTTTTTGTCTTGTTTTCCTTCAAATATGTTTTCTATACATTTTCTCTCCTCATTTGGAAACAATGTGACTGAAAATTTTTCCCAATCCCATCTTCCTGAGGGGGGGCGCCCCCCCCCGCTCAGCATTTCATTTCATTGCCTGGAATGGTTGAAAACATATGGCCAATTCTGGACTTGGGGTTGGTCCCTTGGTAAATATGGTTCATCGAAACATTTCTCAAAATGTTTACATACAAGGCTAGGTAGGAATGTCACATGTAAGACTTGGGTGGTTTGAAAATGCTGCCGTGAACAATTATAACTTGCCCATGTGCACTACAGTAGACCCACGATGTATCTTTCACCTTTTCTACTTGCACACGTTGACATATGTATTTTGTTTAACTGCAGTGTATTTTAAAATGATCATAAACAGCTGTATTGAAAGCTTTTCAATTAAATTTCTGTGTAAAATTTTTCCTGTGTCTTATCTCTGAGTTGAATGGATCAAAAAGAATACTTGCAGAAATTTCAGGAGAGAGATGCTAAGGTGTCCTTTCGTTGCCCAGAGCCTCTTCCTACATCCTTTTTCTTTAGATTAAACCCATTTAGGGTGTGTTCCTTCTTTGAGATTCCCACTAGCATTGAGTTGTTCTTATCTCTCCCTCTATGAATAACCGCATGTGACATGAAGCTGACTCTACATATGACACCAGTCTACGTGACCCTTTCAGGGTATGTATACCAGGTATGACGGTACACGTCTTTAATCTCAACACCAAGGAGGTATAGGCAGGTGGATTTCTGTGAGTTCATAGGTGTTCATTGTAATAGAGGCCAGTCCAATATAAATAAATAATTTTTAAGATGAAAAAAATTCTTGTTCAGAAAACTCTCATGCCATCTTGTCAAAGGGAATCCTATAAGGACAGCCTCAATTGTCTGTCTTGCCCGTCCTGTAGTGACAGCCTCGGCTGTGGATGTGTGCTTATTTCTATCTGAGTCTGCACAGCTCCCAGTACTCTGGTTTCACTTGTTTGGTCAGAGTTTTGTACCTACATGTTTTGGCAACATGCAAAGTCAGAATAGAAATAAAATCCTCCCATTCAAACCGCTCCAGAGTGACTTTAATGCAGAATTCCTTATGGAATCCTTGAAATTGACATATCACCACCTCTACTTCCTCAGCTTCCCATCACAAAGTCCTTTTCTTCCTTTGCAATCTTCTGAAATTACCTTCTCCTTTCCAGGAATACTACTGGGTTCTCGGACTTGACTGAAAACAGGGTCACATTTGAGTATTGCTCATCTTCCCACCTAGTGCATGCCTAGCTAACTTTGCCATGTCCGCTTCAGCCCCTCCTACCAACAGAACGACCTGGCCCCTGGGCTAGGACTATGAGGAATCTGCTGGGCTGGCCTTCCACCTGCTCTTCAGACCTGCTTGCCGCTGGCTCTGCTGCTCACTGCACAGTGACTGGTTAGGTCAGGGAATGTCTGCCTTCGCTCTGATTCCTAGAGTTAGCCTTTGAGTCAGAGTCCACAGTGGCCTGACAAGTTACCACAACCTTCTCATCTCACTCGGGTTGAGACACATCGTTCACTGCAGTTCAGCAGTGCACCAGTCTTGCTTTTAAAGAAGTCTGCTTCCTTCCCGGGAAGCCTGCCTGTGTTACCTTGGCTGCCAAGGTGAGCTCCCCCTGCACTTGCAGTCTCTAGCTCAGAATATTGTTCTTTTTCTTGTTGCTCCCCTTCATGTTTTCTGGTTCTTCTCTGGAAATAATCATTACTTTCTTGTTTTAAACTCTGGGTCTACATTCTTGGTTTGATTTTGGCGGGGGTGGGGGAGGGTTATAAATCCCTGTCATATAGTGCTATAGTGCTGCCACAACACAACTTTCTATGAACTCTAGAATTTTTTTTTTTCTTTTAAATAGGTGGCTGTCCTGGGACTCAATATGTAGACCAGGCTGACCTCATAGGGATCCAGTTCCTCTGCCTTTGCCTCTTCATCTGCCTCCTGAATGTACCAACCAGGTTCAGCTAAGATTTGTTTATGTACACAAGTGCTTTGCCTACACACTAGAAGGAGGCACTGAACCCTGTTATAGATAGTTGTAAGGCAAATGTGGTCCCTGAGATTTCAATTCAGGACCTTTAGAAGACGAGAGCAGCCAGTGCTCTGAACCACTGAGCTACTTCTCCAACCCCTCTGGAAATTGAAATGTTTGTGTTTTCTAATTTCGACGTATTTCTCACAGTGTAGTAGTCAATAAGCTTTTCATCTAGACTGGAGACACAATGAAGATGGGGAAGTAAACGTACAACAGATATAACTAATACCAGCAATTTACTATTTTGCCTTCTATTCAAGGGAAAAATAGGAAATTAACACTTTGATGGTTCTTTTGAACATTGTCAGTTCAACTAGCCCTACCTCCGAGCTTTAAAAAAAAAAAATCTACCAATGAGGCTGGAGAGATGGTTCAGTGGCTAAGAGTGGCTGCTCTTCCAAAAGATCAATGCTCACCCAGCTCACAACGTTCTGTAACTTCAGTCCTGGGGGGTCTGGTGACCTCTTCTGGCCACCATGGGTACTGCATGCACGTAGTACACAAACATAACAGAAAACAACCATACATATTAAGTAATACGTTAAAGTCTACCATGAAATTCATGCTTGTTTGTGTCACCAACATTTAAATAGACAACTATATCTAGGATCCTGCTGAATGCATACCACTAGGATTCATATAGCCCAGCATACTAGGAAGTCAAAATTTACTGATAAAAAAAAAGAAGAAGGAGGAGGAGGAGGAGGAGGAGGAGGAGGAGGAGAGGGAGAAGAAGAAGAAGAAGGAAGAGAAGGGAGAGGAAGGAGAGGAGGAAGAGGAGGAGAAGGAGAAGGAGAAGGAGAAGGAGAAGAAGAAGAAGAAGAAGAAGAAGAAGAAGAAGAAGAAGAAGAAGAAGAAGAAGAAGAAACAAGCTGGCAAGATAGCTTGGTGGTTAAGAGGTTTGTTGGA